TTAATGACGTCAATGAGCTACAGCAGGGGTGAAATTGGGCCATTATTTTTTATGTCCATATGTCCTGTGCCTATTAAAGAAAAAAAAAACCTCAAAAGAAGATCAAGGAAGAAAAGTTATTGAATCAAAAGACTACACAGTGCAGAGATTAACATCTAGATGTGGAATGTTCCTCTTTTGTTCCTGCTGTACATCATAAATATAACAGCTTATGGAAAAAGAAATACTTCTGTAGTGTCAAGATACAACGTGAGTTCTGCAGTGACAAATTATATTCCCATTTTGTATCCTGTTTTGATAAAAAAGCCAACAGAAAAAATCATTACCAGGAAAAGGTCTCTTCAGAACTCCACAAAAGTGAGCGACACAGTTGCCAGTAAGTGTCAGTGTCTCCTCTTTAAGCCAATATTCATCACACCCAGCACATCACCACCAAGCAGTAAAGCCCAGTGGATCTTGTCCTGAGCTCATTTCTTAGTAAATCCAAACCACGATTATACAAATATCAAAAGAGAAAAATACGACACAGTAAAGCCCACACAGTGTTTTCTGTGAGTATGCAAAGCCTCAAACACCAACGTGAGAAGGGACACACAGCTGAGGAGCCCAAGCCTGCAGGTGTGGGACAGCAGCTGTGAACAGCAGCAGTAACAACCACAATTCTGTGGAGATTTTCAGAAGGCTGAACTGCACTATTAAACCTGAGAAAATGTGCAAACAGGTTTCCCACCCCCCACGCAGGAGATACTGCCCAGGCTGCAAACAGACTCTGGCTCTGACCACAGCCAGCAAGACCTACAGCTACAATTTCTCAGCTAACACTGAAAGCTCACTTAACTGACATTTATGAGTAACCATATGCAGAGGGACACAGGTAAAACTACTCACCCTCATGCCTACAGAGCCAGGCTGATGCACCTTTTAAGGCAGACAGCAACTGCCCCAGATCACAGGAGCTGGTGTTCAGGGCCTCTGCTTTGTAGATAACTTTTATTTCTAAGCTTTACAGAAGATTCCTTTGAAATCTTTGACCCTAATTATCCAAGTCAAAGCTTCAGTCAAAGACTAAGTCCTCTCTGCAAAGGCCTCTTTTCCAATTGCTTCCCCTTTGCATTAATGAGCTCTTTTTCCCACAATAAGCTACAACAGTTTGAGGTTTTGTTTTTGTTTTTATTTTTATTCTTCTCCTCCCTCCTCCTCTCCCATTCCAGCACTGGAATCAAAATAACTTGAGATGGAAAACGTGTGACCTCCCAAGCCTTTATTTACAGTATCACAAACCACAAGGGAAGGTTCTGTCCAAGTTTTCCAGCTGGAATGAGAACAGCAGGGAAAAAACGTGCCCTCCTTTTTGCAGCTGTGATATTTAACACATCACAGGGGAGAAGGGTGGGAAGGAGGCAGGAGAATTAGAAGCCAGTAATGATGCCATGGAAATATCAGATGAAGCATCTCAGCCACACAGGCAGGTTCACATGATGACATTTTTCTCCTCAGAAATAAACAGCTTTTGTATATGCAAAAGTATCTAAAAACCAGTCTGACACACATTTAATGACATTATTTCTTCACTTCTACATTAAACCAGATTGTAAAATACAGAAACTTTTTGGACCCCATCGAAGTTTGTATCAGCGCTGTAACGACCTCTCTTCACGCCATCATCCCCCACAATTATAACAAAGAATTTGACGAAAAATAGAAGCCTAGCAGCAACAGAATCTTCCTCAGACATTTAAACAGCATAGAAAAACAAACACAAATGAAGGAGGTTTAGATCTATAGAAAGTTTCTTGCAGCAGGAAACTGTCAGTTAGATTGTGGTTACAACCACAGCAGCATCACAGCCCTTTCCTCCCAGTTAAAGACTGTCCAAACAGTTCCTCGTGTCTTGTGTTTCTATTGTACAAGAAGGAAAACTCACCCATTTCCATGTTCAATTTCATAGTGCCAGATTATACAGGGGACTCTGTAGAGCTCTTCTTTTTGAAAAGGGATCCTTCTGTACCTTTCCAAACAGTTGTATCCTGTCAGGTCTAAATGAGTTTACCTGTAACTCTCTCCCACCTTTACAAGATCCCCTTTCCTTCTCCCTGCCTGGCACAGTAACAAATGCCACACCAACCCACAACCCTTACACACTGAGACAGGGGAATGTCACAAGTGTGCTGCTCCATTACACTGCCAAACAGGGATCCTCTCCTTGCCAGTACAAAAGCAGCCATCACCCAGCTCCCTGGAGCATTATCCCCTTGATATAACACTTTACAGTGAGTTTTTCAATCCAGTTGATGAAGGATCCAGCACGAAGACAGATTTTTTTCCACAGTTATATAGTTTCCACAAACTCACCCCTTACCAGGGGTTCAATTCTCATGTCATGGGTCTCACAATAAGTCCTATGGTAAGTACAAGGGGCAGAAAAAGTTAGGTTCGAGCCCAATTTGTGTCCATATAAAAGGACATAAGGCTCTGGAAGGAGAAATGCCGGTCACATCACACAGCCAGGGGTGGAAAATCACAGCCCAGCATGGTACAGGCACAGGTGCTGCAGGGAAGGCAGGGAGTGCTGGAAGGACATTAGAAGGAGGCAACTGCAAAGCAAAGCTGTGCTTCCTTTTGACAGGACACAACACGTTCCTTCAGTGGTGTTACAAATCGCTTAGAGGGGACATCACTTCCAGTGACAAGTCCCCTGTCCCCAGCCTTCCTCACATCTTCTCAGGCACCCTTGGATTCAACCTCATCTACCTTCCCCTCTTATTTTCATCCTGCCCAATGTCAGCTTCTGCCTCTTGTTACAGACAGAAAACACTCACCCCATCCAGGCTTCTGCAGGAGCAGTGGAAGCACAAAAAGACAGCACAGTGCCCCAGGACAGCTGGAAGTGAGGATGCTGAGGGACAGAGGAGCAGCTCCCTCCCCATCCTAGATCATCACCCTACATCTCCTCATCACCCTGCGTTCCCCCCTGGCTCCCTGCCCAGCTCCCACAGCTCCCAACATCACCAGCACACACAGCTCACGTCTGCACACACGTCCCTGGGGCTCTGCTCACAGCAGGGATTGAGGACACTCTCCTAGATTTTGAAATAGTTCTATGCAAAGTACTCCCAAGGATGTCTTGCAGAGGAGTATTGTCCCAACATTTCCATTCTGTCCAGCAGTTTGGATTGAAAGCCTCCAGGTCTGGAAAAACAAAAGGCTGCACAGCGATGCTGGTAGAACAGAGGGGGAAATTGCCCAGTGCCTCCAGCATTTTCCTGGACATGGTGGTTCAGCTTTTTGTCTCCATGAGCACTGCATTCCCTGACAAGGTTTAAAACCCATTTTTCTCTCTGCATTCCCTACCTGCCAACTCACAGACGTTACTCCTCTCTGGTGACGCAAGAGCAGGGATTCATTTTCCTGTGAACACCATTCTGGAGGCAATTTCCCCTCACCTACCCAGAGAATTAATGACCACTTGGGCACCTCATCAGCCCTGTAAAATCCTTCAGGCAAGCAAAATGAGTGAAGCCTCAGCCTTGGGGCAAAGCAAACCCTAAGCCCTGCCAAGGATTGCATTTCTTCTCTGCTGTTGCCACTAATTCAGAGAAAAATGCTCCCTCTACAACAGCCTGTGGGGGAGTGTGTGACCTAAAACAGGAGGCAAAGCTCTCGGGATACAGATGTTCCCCCTCAGCACAGCAGCACAAACTCACATGGCAATTAATGCCTCTCTGAGCACAAACTCCTCTGTTAAAGCTGCTGCTGGCAGCTTTTGATCCCAGAGAGACCTGGCCACAGCTCCTTTGGAGCTGCAGTGGGCAGGCAGGAGCTGCTGGGCTCTCTCTCCTGAGGAAATCAGGTATTCCACAGAGGGACAAGACACAGCACTGGGAGCAGCCTACCCAGCCTGGCACTGGGCTCTGCTAATCCCAAAGAGAGGCTTCAGGAAGGAAATCGATCTGGAGAATGGCAATGAATTCGCTGGGAGCCAATTAAGGTATTCAAATCACCCCTAGTTTTCAACAACTTCTGATAAAGATATTGCATGTTAATACAGAGCTGGTGTCACTGCAGTCTCAGTGTAACTGCTGTGACCCCGAGGTACAAACCCAGAGAGACTGAAAACATATTTCAGTCTGGTAAGTGAACAGTCCCAGATCCAAACTCATTTATTCTTTCTCTTCTTCAATTCCAGCAATTCGTTGCTCCTGAAGCAAAACCTGACAATTGTTAAGTTTTAGTATCACCCCAAAGAAATATTTGGTGGAGTCAAAAAGACCATTTCTGATAAAGGAAAAAAAAAACACTTAAGTGCTGAGCAATGTAATGGAGGAAAATAAGAAGATGCAGAACTGTGCAGTCAGGCTAAAGGCTGACACCCTGCCTACCAAAAAACTCCAGCCACTAATTTTATAGTGAGAGTTCACACTATGAGATGTATTTCCAGAATTCACACAAGAGGTTTGGATGGAGCTGGGCACACACAGTGAAACTACAACGTGATGGTAGTAAATGAGGCTGTACTACTGTCTATTTCAATACAAATAAAATCAACAAGGTTAAGATTTTTTTTCAGAAAAAAACTCACCAAGATTTAAATTAAAAATTATATTAATTGCACATTCTGTGCAGTCATTCTCCCTTACAATTTATTTATTTGAAAGATTTTAAACAGAAAAGGATACTAAGTAGAAAAAGGCAAGGAGCATGAGCTTTCTTTCAGAAGAAGTTTATTACCAATGCACACATCTATGCAATTTAATCCAACCATGTCCTGTGACTGCCAAGCCCTTCTCAAGGAGCTCTTGCAGCCATTTTCCAGCCTCCATTTTATCACATTTTCCCCAAGCATTTATCCAAGTGGAACCCAAACTAAGGTTCATCCCCTCTCACCAGCAGCGACTTAGTATCCCTCAGATAAACTACCATTCTCCCTAGTAACATCTAAATTGTTTTTCCTAACCCAGAAGAAAAAGAAACAGCCATCCAGCTGAAATGTCAGAACCTACCTTCTGCAAAAAATCTCTCTAGATGCTTCTGAATGCAGGAGGGAGCAAAGACAGCATTGCTGAAAAAGGATGTCACTGTTGGTCCACATGTGTCAACATCCTAGAAAAAGACAGAACACAGTTGCTGAACTGCCATACCCATGGGAAATCAAGAGCAAGAATAAAGCTGCATTATTTTTCCAGTTACACCATGCTAATGGCTTCTATGCAAACAACATAAAGCTACAACATTTTATAATTGCACATCAGAGTTTCTCTGCAGACATCCCTCCGGTATGTCAGAAATTCAATACGTGATAGTAGGCGGCAATGAGCACCTCAGGGATTTAAAGTGTGTTCCAAACCATGAGTCATCGTCATCTCTAACTCATGGAAATTAAGAAGGAGAAAAAAGAGAGAAGAAGAAACACACGAGTTGCACTGACCACTCTCACGTGCCCTCTGTACAACACTTCTCAAAGCATTTCCCTTCTAAACTCAGAGCTCAATGACTTCCACGGAGGAGACACCACCACAGACAGACCCAGCACATCACAGATTATTCCAGGGAGCCTTCAGAGCCCGGGCAGGATCCCACATTTGAGGGTGGAAGCAGAGCTGGAGCTGCCCTTGGAATCCCCACAGATCCTTCCACACCCGGAGGAGCAAGGAGGCAGCAGCTCCCACAGGGAACAAAGGGCTGGTGAACCAGCAGCACCCAGGAGGGCAAATCCAGGTCAGGAAAGCCCAGGCACCCCATTTCCACTCCTACTGCAGCCACCTGCTCTCCCCAAGGCTGATTTTGTCAGGGGGAACCTGTAATGCTGCCTGCAGAGCAAGTTATTGCTTTGCTCATCATTGCAAGCAGCCCTGATGCCTTTCCAGGAGATTCCTTCAGGCAGTCTCATCTTCACCCTCCAACCACTGCAAACTGTTTCAATGCTGCTTTTAAAGCAGCTGGGTTGCACTTTAGGGCACACACGTGTGCTCTCCATTCTACTGATGATCTCCCCAAGCATATCCAGATTCCTTTAGGTCTTCTTTAATGTCTTGGCTTATCCTTGTTTCTCTGCCCTCCAAGCAGCAGCCAGAGCAGAGTCAGGGCTCTCTCAGCACTGGTCTAACAGGTGATGGGGTAGGGAATGTTTGGGTACATCCCACAAGTCAGCTGTGGAACCCCAAAACCCACATGCTCACACTGAAATTGTCTCTATCTCACTGAACTCCCCATCAGTAGAAATATCCCTTCAGGTCACAAAGGGCACACTTGTCCTTCCCAGTTCTCCTTCCCAGCAGCAGGGGTTGTATTTTGCACCAGAACATGCAAATCTGGGTCCACAACCACAAAAATAAAAGCACATCTTGACTGGGACTTGGATCCAAGCCTCAACACCAGTACCTGCTACCAAAGAGTTACACAAAAAATACATAAAACATCAATACACTCTGTTCCTTCCCCTAAAGAACCTGAAATGCTTGGGAAAACCATCAATACCTTCAGCTGCAAACCCTGCTTCAGTTAACATAAATTTATGTCTTGCCAAGAGCTTAAAAAAAAACAGTAACTGATCTTCACTCTTGTAACTTCTTGCACAGCAATTTAAAAAATATAATAGTGCTTGCACAGGTCAGATTCATCCTGGAGGAAGAGCAAACGTGAGTAACATTTCAGGACCATTAATCTCAGAAATCTCACCAAGAGCAAGCAGCCAGACAGCTTAAAAATATATTTAGTCCACAAATGCTTATTAACGTCATTTGCTGATTCACAGCTAAGCCAAGCACATAGAGCCCAAATGCCACTTCTGCTTTCCCAGGCTGGGTGGTAATAAATAATAATAATAATAATAATTAATAATAATAATAATAATAGTGTTGCTGAAAGTCTTGGGCATCAAGTTGCTTAACCTATCTCAAAATCGTGATGCAGCTTTTAGATTGGATCTGTCAGAACTGGAAACCACAGGTCCAGTCTGTGGCCCTGTGGTTTAGGATCCAATCAGAATTTATCTGAAACTGAATCTTAGCTTTCTTTTCTTTCATTGACTATTGATCTTGCTGCCAACATTAATACAGTCAAGACCAGAAGATAAATAAAATTAGTTCTTCAGGCTCACAACAAAATTAACACTGAAAATCATCATTACTTTTAAAATTACATCCTCTTTATAACTGCAGAAAAAATGTTCAATGATCTGATACCTGTGCCAGGATTTTGTGTGTACATTTTGGGGCAGAATTAACCCACTAAATTCTTAAGGAATGCTTTAAGCAAAAATTCTTTTCATAAAATGAAATGTAAAGTGTTTCTTCTCCTGCTGTTATATACAATATGATGATGCAAAGACCAAAGGACTTTCTCTCTAAAGCAACTATTCAAATCTGTTTGATGGAAATATATTTAAATATAACATTTTAATCTTGCTGTGCCTTTGAATTTTAAATGCCTTTTCATGAAAGCAAGTATTTCATTAGTCCTTTTAGCCATTCTACCATTATGATTTGCAAGTAAATAAGAATCCTCACATTACCTTTCTCTTTTAAAAGGATTCATTACAGCTATATAGTTTTAAATTCAATACACATCCAGTCTGATTGAGCCTTACCAATTTTTACAGGTTATAGAATAATTCACTCTTCAAGTGCATTGGGATTTGTCCATATCCATTCTTTCCCCATTTCCCACAAGCAAGACAAGTCTCTCTAAGTGCTGGATATGCCAGACACCATCCTCCCAAAAGAACCATCCACTAAAACCCACACTTTAGTAAATAAATTGTAAAAAATGGAGTCAGAGCAGGGTCCTGCTCTCTCTCTGCCTGGCTTTGCTGAGCAGGGAACAGTTCTCAGAATTAGCAGGGCCTGGACACAGGGCTTCAAAGGGTTTCAGAGTTTGGGTGAGGCCAATCTTAAAGCCCCCCAGGGTACCTGTAAACCTGCAAGGGCAACCACAAAGCCTCCTCCAGTTAAGAAAAATCAAACCTTCCTACCTCCTTTATTCTTTTTTGTTCTGGGGTTGGGTTTTTTTCCTGTGTGGTAGATTAGGAGAGGATGATAAAAGTTCTTCTTTTCAGTGACAGTAAGTCCATAGCAATTGTTCCAAACAGAAAAACTGGGTTCTCTGCACACTTGTTAATGGTACTGCAATCAAAAGTGATTAAAAGCAAAAACATTTCTGTACAAGAGAAACTGAAAGTACTGCCTCTGGGAAAACAGAAACATTGGCATTTTCTCTACAGCAAACACTAAAAGTAATAGATAATTAATGTAGCCTAGGACATTATGGTATTTATGAAACTTGTTTTCTGGAATTATCATAAACAATTCACCTTGACTGTATTCCCAAGTCATCACTTTTTAAAGTCACTGCAGTTTGCAGAGGCCTCACTGATGCTATTCTTAATTTACTTATTTTTAGGTGTGAGAACAGATTACCAAGGCAAAATTTAAACTTAAAAATTGTCAGATTTTCATCCTCTTCTATAATCATTAACCCTGTCTGCATTTCGGAAACATTTTGTGCTAAACGGAAATCAAGTACACAGTTAAAATTGCTTCTGCTTTAAAATTAAACTCCCGAAGTGTGGGAGGATTCAGCATTGTTAAACAAGGGGCACATTTGTCCAAACCACCAGGAAAAAGCAACACAACAAAAACACAGAAATGTGAGTTAATGCAAGAGCTCCCAAAAGGCTGCAACAACATTTTTATTATGGGCGATTTGCAAAGAGGAACGTTACAAACTCTCTCTCCCTTCCTCGAAAGGCTTTCAGGGAAGCATCTCCCCAGGGAAGCCTCGGGGCACTGGAGCAGCCCAGAACCGAATCAAAGCCCACGTCTGGTTCTGGAGCAGCACCACAGCTCAGCAGCACCCGAGGCACAGGAAAGCAGACCACAGCTATTAATAGACAGATTCACATGTAAATATCTTTTGCAAAGAGGCAGAGGTGGCACACGGCTCGTTTTTTAGAGCCAATGTTGAAAACACCACATTGCACTAACAGAACTGGCATTTACCTTTCCATGGAGGATGATTAATTAATTATAAGATGCTTTCTGCTGGCTTCTGAAGGCTTCTGTGCTGAACTGATGTGCTGCACTTCACTTTCCTTCCAGGAGGTACCAACGCTGCCACCACTCAATCACTTTATACTGGTGGGACAGGCAGAGCTCCCACCTCACCATGACCTGGACAAACACACCTGGTGAAAACCCCAAACCACAACTCAGTGGCTTCGGGCAACAGAGCCCTGCCAAGCACAGAAAATAAAAATGCTTCTGCAAAGGCAGAGGCACTGACAGCACCGTCTTGCAGGGAGAAATGAACCAGCACAAGTGCTCCTCATGACCATCCCAGCTGGTCCAGCTCAGCCTCCTGCTCTTGCCCAATCTGCATGAATAAATTCTAAGCTCTACCGAGTGTCAGCTGTGGTTAAACACCACATGCCCATGGTTTAGGAGCATCAGTTTCAGACCACAGAGAGTCTCCAGAGCCCTTTATCCTCAGAAAAGGTGGTTTCTGTTCTAGCAGCCACCCCAAAGCACTAAGGGGATATAAGTGAGCAACTAAAAATCAACAAACCACAGGGAAATAAATTCAAAATCCTGAAGAACTCTAATCGGAGGAACAGGCTCCAGAACGTGCCAGGAAATTAATCAACATGCAAGAGAAATGCAGCAGTTAACTGGAAAATACGAGCAGCTTGGAAAGGCACTGAGACCTTTTTTCCCTCTCTGATGTTTGTAGCATCTGGACCCTCCACGTGCCCCGGGGTTACATTCCCAAAGGAGCACAAGGTCCTGGCCGCACTGCGAGCAGCCAGACCCAAGGGAAAGGGAGGGAAAACAAACAGCAAAATGCTTCCAGGAGCTGCCTGAGCTCTGGATCCTGCTGTTGCTATAATGAGCTTTTCATGTGCCAAGAGTCCTCTCCCTCCTTCTTTAGAAGTTATTAATCCTTTCATAAATGTCTTTATTCCCTTATATGAAATGGGAAGTATTACAACCCATTGCTCTGATCAACTACAAGAAAAAAATATTTTTAAAAACCCCAAATTCTACATTCTATATGCACCCTTACGAGATTTTTAGGAACCTCATAGCAGTCTACATAAAAGAGGA